TTGTCCCAGCAGAGTGAGTATATCTCCTCCTGCCTCTACAAACTTAGTCTTTGAATTTGTCACCAGTTCTACATCTCCAAATAATACTTCTATATGTGAAGTGCAACCCTGGTCTGATGGCACATCCATCTTTCAGCACTCATTTTTCTTCCCAGCCAGGTGTCCTTGTCAGGGATACGAAGAAGCTCCTAGTCTGCCAAACTCTCTTAATGTTTTATATTCTTTAACTGAACTTCCTATAAAAACGTAAGAGACGTATCCAGTCTAGCACACAAAGGGTTTGGGAAGCTCCATTTGTCTGCTCTTCAGATTATTTCAGTCTTCATGTAACAGCAACTCTCTTATATTTGCTCAATTGCAATTTGACAGAAGTAAGGAAATAAAGCAATATGTTTTTTATGTTAATGTATATGGCATACTGATTGCTTGTTAGCAATTGTGGCACAAAATGTAATCAAATACTTTTTGTAGTGAACATTTTTTGGTCAAATTTCTAGCAATTAAAATATTTAATGTCTCTGTATAAGTATTTGTTGCATTAAGAAGTGCAATATGTAAGGTTGAATTTATTAATAAAATATCAAAAATGGAGACTACAACTGTTCATAGAATTAGCTCATTTGCTCTTGAGACTTCAGATGTTTCATGTGATTGTTTTAGAGCTACAAAACATATTTTCTGTAAAGATTTTGGAAGTAGCTTCAAATTCGAAATAGTTTAATGGAAATACAGAAAAAAAGCTTAGAGAAAGTTAAAGTACAAGAGTAGGTGTTGAAAGGAGACACCAAGTTATTTGAAGGCTTGAAAAATGTCTTGCAGTGAAAAACTTAAATTAGAATTGGCTAGAAATGCTTTGATGGAATGTTTTTCAGCTGATAGTATCTATTCATCAAATTGTGACTCTGCTGGAAGGGATCAATTTTCATATTTCTGGTTTTGAAATGTTTCCAACAGTTTCAAAGATGATAAAACATCCTGTTTCAACATTTCTAAATGAAAAAACCCTACAATTTTCAGTTCTAAAAGCCTTCTTCTCAAAATGTTAGCTAATTATGTCAGCCATCTCTAAATTGAGCTGGAATTATAGCAAATTACCCAAAATTGAATTGCTTTTTGTTTTGCTTGTTTGCTCTCCCTTTTTTTATTGTTTTTAATTTTTTTTGTTTATTTCTGATAGATCATCAACATTTCAAGAGTTCTACTTTTTGTCCAGCTTTGAAAATGGAAAAAAAAAATGGCTTGCTTGAAAATTCAGCTGTTTCAATTTATCAAAAAAGTTCCTTTAGTAGGGTATACCTCTGTATTAATGTATTAAACTCACTTTTGACCATGTGTTGGGTTTGCGTGGCAATGTTTTGGTACTATGGGGTGGCTACAGTCGTGGCTTCTGTGAGAAGCTGCTAGAAGCTTTTCAAATGTCTGATAAAGCTAATGTCTGCTGAGTCCAAGAGACCCAGCACTGGCCAAGGCTGAGTTCATCAGTGACGGTAGCACCTCTAGGATAATGTATTTAAGAAGGGGACAAAAATCTGCTGCACAACAGCAGCTGGAAGAGAGGAGTGAGAATATGTGAGAGGAACAACTCTGCAGACACTAAGATTAGTGAAGAAGGAGGGGAGAAGGTGCTCCAGTGGCTGGAGGAAAGATCCCCCTGCAGCCAATGGAGCAGATATCCACCTGCAGCCCCTGGAGGACCCCATGCCACAGCAGGTGAATTCCTGAAGAAGGCTGTGACACCGTGGGAAGCCCATACTGGAGCAGGCTCCTGGCAGGCCCTGTGGACCCATGGGGACAAAGAGCTGTTTGTGCTGAAGCAGGTTTGCTGGCAGGACTTACTGACCCCATAAGGGATCCATGCTGGAGCAGTCTGCTCCCACAGGCCTGCAGCCAGTGGAAGGGACCTACACTGGAGCAGCACGTGAGAAGGACTCAAGTGGGAGTTTATGAAGGACTGTTTCACATGGGAGGGACCACACACAGGAGAAAAGCAGGTGAAGAGGGTAAGGAGTCCTGCCACTGAAGAGGAAGGAGCAGCAGAGACAACACGTGATGAACTGACTGCAGCTCCATTCCTCGTCCCCCTCTGCTGCTGGTGGAATAAGGGAGAGAAATCAGGAGTGAAGTTGAGACCAGGAAGAAGGGAGGAGTGGAGGAAATGTGTTTAATGATTTTATTTGTCATCAGCCTACTCTGAATTGATTGATAATAAATTAATTTCTCCAAGTTGAGTCTGTTTTGCCCTTGACAGTAGTTGCTGAGCAATGTCTCCCTGTCCTTATCTCGACCCACAAGCCTTTTCTGTATTTCCTCTCCTTTGTCCAGCTGAGGAGGGGAATGATAGAGCAGCTCTGATGGGCACCTGATGTCTAGCCAGGGTCAACTCACTACAGACAATTCCCTGGCACTGAGGTCAACTCACATACAAGGGCTTCTCTCCATGCTATTAATGTCTGTCGTCTGCTGAAACAGAAGAGCCACATCCAAACCACCTACTAAGAATGATCATTGTCCTATTCTAATTCTTGATCCATGGCTAGGAATAGGCTGGGAGGGTATGAACTAGTCCAGTTTAAACCATTCCAGGGTGTAGTATAGACAATTGAGTTTCAAGTCCTGGATTTGTTTACTGGCACAGTTTATTTTATTTGCATTTTGTATAGGCATGTCTTATGAAACACAACATATCTTCTAATCTTTCTCACAAAGACGTGAAAGAAACAATGGTTATAAATAAGAGCTACAAAAATGCAAATCAGAAGTACAAATTTGCAACATTGTGATTAAACATTGAAAGAAGCTGTAAACTCAGCATCTCTTAATGTCTTCTCTTGTCAAGACAGGACAGTCTGCTGCATACACAAGCCAAGTAAAAATTAGTGGGCTCAGGAAGGATATTGGGGTAAACAGTGGACTAAACCAATTAGCCTAATAATCCCTACTGGGGATAAATTATCTAGAAAAATCATATGTAAAAGTATAATTTGCTTCTTGTGTTACATTATTAGTAGATATAATTCTGAATTCATTCATTTTATGGAAGCATATGAATTTCTCACTAAGCTGACATGCATATTCCAAGGGATATGTTTTGACACATACTTACAGGCAGAAAAGGAGAGCATCTTTCTCAGGTCTGGCATGAAATGGTCAAGGAGACAAACTTCTGTTCAGGGCAAGGCAGCAGCTTGTGACAAACTGTAAATCTGGAAGCACATCTGCCAACTTCCCCATGATACTGGCTAGGACATATGTGAAGTAAGGTTGAGCAGCACCCTGTCTTTCAAATCTCCAGACTATGGTATTTTCTATATGTTTTTGCTTTTCTCATGCATTGTGATGATGAATGAGCTTTAAGTTCAGTGTTTGTTACTGAGAGATGTATTTGAATATTATATATTAATAAAGAAAGCATTCCCAAATTTTCTACTTTGTCTTTCTATCCTTCATCTTTCTACTCATCTTCCTATCTTCACTCTCAAAGGGACCAGTGAGATACATGCCATTCCATGGGGCTAATATATTCCTTTTTCTTCCTGTGAAAATCTAGAAAAAATATGCTCAAACTGTCTTTACATTTTTCCAGTGATTCAGTTTAGTAGCCTGTAGCCTGGAGTTATGGATACAAAGTATTAGCTCTTAAACTGTCAAAACTTGTAACAAGAAGCAGCCACTACTTGAGGGGTGTTTAAGCAGGGTTTAGTGAAGAGCTTACAAAGAGCTCTTTTGAAAAGGAGAGGGATTTTTTAGTTATAATATTACATGATAGTGGGAAAATCAAACTGAAGCATGCCACATAGAATAAAACTTCTAATTAGGTCTCAACTGGCAGTCCAGGTCATCCACTGTCTCCTAAAATACAAATGTGTTCAGGGAACTTCATGGGGATGAAATCTGTACTCCTATCTTTGGCTGGACTATTGGATATTGTGGCAGAAAAAGGCAAATACAGGGCCGAAGGGGTAGCTAAGCATACAGTATGATCTCTGTCCAACTCAGGGCCTTGAATAGTTTCCTCTGAAGCCAACTGCATTTTCATAGCAGAATTTTAGATACCAATGCATATGTGCTGTCTTGGTCTAACACAGTCTTGGTCCAGAGCTTGGGATTTAAACCTATAAATTTCTTATATATGACAGACTGTATCTTGTCCATATTCACACCACTTAAACGTTAGGTTTTAACTTACTTCTGAAGCAATTAGCACACAGAGTCAAAAGTTTAGCAAGCCCTGAAGAAATTTGTGTGTCAGCCTGGCATTTTAGAACTGATCTATCTTTATGTGCACTGATAGAAAAAGTTGACTGTGGTTTAACGTTTTCATCAAGATGTGTTTTTGATGTTCTAAATATGTGTTCCAAAGGATTCACCATCCATAACCTCTCGCTGAAATTAGAAGTTGTTGATGTTTTCAGGAGCTGTCTGTCCTCTACCTGAAGTGAGCAGGCAAAGGGATGTGTACATTACTTATAAGCAGAAGGCTATATGTATACATGCTTATCATTAAATTTGGAAACCTCTCTCAGGGAACAAAAATCTCATGTGTTTGCTTTAAATATTAGGTAGGAGTTTTGTTGTTTGATTATAATAATTTTGTGTTAGCCCTGGTCAATATTTCTCTCACCTACTGATCTCTAAATCCCTTGATGACAATGGCTAGGAGTTTTTGAAACCATTTGGGTAGTCCATTCCTGAGAAGTATGACTGAGTGCCTAGTGGTACAGATATTGGTCCTTGGCCTGAACAACACTTAGTAGACTGTTTGTGAAACATAGATTAGAAAATAATAAAATTTTAAAGGTACAGGCTTAAATATATATAACAAGAATTTTAAAAGCATAACAAAACCAAACTCCAAAACCCGTAACATTGAATAGGACTTCAAAGCTCTATACAAAAATGACTAACAAAATGCTTCTATCTCCTTGCATGTATAATTTATGATTTTTCTTTTCTCTCCATGTTTGTCTGTCATGATGATCTTTGTTTCTAATTCCTTGCAGACATCTCAGTCAGTCTATTAGCAGTAGTCGTCAGCTTCTGTGGGCTCGCCTTGCTGGTAGTGTCGCTCTTTGTCTTTTGGAAGTTGTGTTGGCCCTGCTGGAGGAGCAAACCTCTCACTTCCAATGCCAGTAATGTTCCTCAGAGCAATTCCAGTGCTCCTACGGAGGTTTTTGAGACCGGTGAGAAAAAGGAAGTTAAAGAAAATGGGAAACCTACAACAAAGGTACTTGAAGCTGCACTGAAAATTAGCCACACTTCACCTGATATACCAGCAGAGGTCCAGAACGCACTGAAAGAGCATCTGATCAGACATGCACGCATGCAGAGACAGATCACTGAGCCCACATCATCATCAAGGTAAGTCACAGGCACTCGCCTTTGTGGCACCTTTCCTAGAAACAG